AACATACCGTGGCAAAACTTAGTGGGAACCCGAGGGCCATCATTCACATCACCCTCTCATCTTCCACTAATCTCTAGTACATCTATACTCCAAGCATTGTCACTAGAGCTAAGTCTATCGAGCATCTTCTTTTTGTAAATTGAACCCCAACTTGAAGAAGTGACTCAAGTTGTCAAAGCATATTACATCACGATGGACGTTCGGAGTACACTAGCAGGGAGCGCACCCCATAGCATGAAACACTTCCTTGAAAAACTTTGACATGGGAAACTTGAATCTCAAGGAAAAGTGGAACGTGCGGAACGTGATTATTCTCTCATACAAATCGTTCGGGTCCGTTAGATCTACATCATCAAACGAAGGCTTCGCCAACTTCACATGCACGTCGGCAAGGAAGGCTGCAGATAATTGGGACCGCCACTTTTTGAATTGTGTCTCGTCAACGACACGATACAATTTGGCAATGAAACTTTTTGTGAACATGGGAGCCACCCCACAAATACAAAGGAACTTGTGAGCCAGATGATCGACTTCCTTTATTAGATGACATGGAAGCTGAGCAATTACAAAAAGGAAGAAGACAGTCAAAATCACTAGTCAAAAATTAAACCACAAGGGAAAACCCAAGCTTGCGGCGAAAGAAAAAATCGACTCCTCCAAATCCTTCTCTTTGCAGTCTTTGCAGCAAGTCAGAAAGAAGGTGTTAAGCTCATAATTTCATATATACACATGCCCTATTTACTTAGTCCTTTTGCTTAGTTTCTTAGAATTCTGAGTCATTTACCTCACTTCGTGTGTTTTATAGGTCAATAGAGCAAGAGAGCATAATTCATGCAATTCAAGCATGTTAAGGCCTGATTTGGATGAATGGAACAAGAGGTTAAAGACAACCCCAATTTGGGCTACAATTCCTTGTCAGTCCAGTTTCGTATGTCACCTTACAGGCTTTATTTTAGGGATCTACACAGCTCAAATGAGGAGACATTCTTGAGTACAGTTGGTCCCATGGGTCTCTACTACAACATATCCAAAATCGAGCCTAATTGGAGTTATATGGAGTCCTCAGCCCACCAAACAAGGTACCATGCTCAAGAGAAATTTTGTCTGCGCTGCCAAATGAGTTAGCAATTTATTTTGGCCTTAACATCTTCCTCCGAGCTTGGATTGGCCCAAATGACAAATGGTTAGAAAGTTAACATTCTGAACTTCAAGATGGAGGGCTCAAAGTCATCATTTGCTTAAGGGAAGCCTAATCCATGAGCCCATGAAGTTGTTAGTCATGTTGACCTAAGGATGAGCTAAATATTTCTTGGTCATTCTGACCTAAGCATGACGTGATTTCTGATGGTGGGGAAGTTAGTTGAGATTATTCAAATGGAGTTTTATAGCAGCCACAAGAAATAAAGAAGATGACGTGGGTGTTGTTGGTGAACTAATTTTAAATGCAATTATGTCTTAGGTGAAGTAGGTGAGGTTGGTGAACTCAAATGTAAAATCTGATTCACCTAACCCCTATGCCTATAAATAGAGAGTCTTCAAGGAGCAAGAGCATTCATTCATCTTTCATTCATATTCCATCACATTGTACAAAAAGAGAGGGAGAGTTGAGAGTCACAAAGGGAGAGAAGAGAGAAGGCAACAGCTGGGAGGCTTTGGCCTCCTGCCAGCCATGGAGATGAAGCTTTTCCATCTCTAACATGTTGTCCCTATCTTCTTCTCCTCCCTTTGCCTTTTATTTTCTTCTTTTATTTCCTTAGATTTACTTTGTCTTTCTATTCAATAAACAACTCGATATTTTCTGTTATTGTTATGAACATGATGATTTTAAGTTTTTGAAGTTTGATTGGTTTCCAAGTCTCAATTTTAGTTCTTGTTCTTATTCATTATCCTTATCAGTTGATATGCTTGTTTGAATGTTTGATCACCATTTAAACTTGTATATTAGCTATCTTGGTTGGAATATTAAGAGTAGACACCATATGCCTTAATTCGAATTGAACTATGAATAGAAAGAGTATGTATGGACATTTGACAACAGAGATTAGATACATGCTTGGTTATTTAAAACGTTATCCTATGCTTAATCACTATTACAAAAATCGTAATAGACGACGGTAATCCACCGTCGTGTATCCGGTTTTTCAACCGTCGTTAAATTGACACTACTACAAAAATCGCAACAGACTACGGTAATCCACCGTCGTGTATCCAGTTTTTCAACCGTCGTGAAATCGACCGACATCTTTTGATGCATAAAATCACGACGGTAAATCTCCGTCGTCTATTATTTCTAAAGATGACACTTTTACTCAAAACTATCGTCTATTAGATGTTAAGACGACAGTTATTTCAAAAAAATCGTCGTTATTTATGGATAACAACGACAGTGCTTTGTTAAAACCGTCGTCATTTAAGGATAATGATGTCAGTATTTTATTAAAAAGCGTCGTTAATTGTACTCAAAGATGGCGGTATTGTGTTAAAAACAGTCATTGATTATACGCATAGATGACAGGATTTACATTAAAACCATCATCTAAGAAGTTCCCATTATGTTTGAATTTGAATTAATGCCTAAAATTGCCATTGATTAGCTATGAAGACGACTGTTGTATTGTAAATCTGTCGTCTACAACAATTTTAACTAGAATTCCAACTATATTATTTTATTAATGAATACATACACTCAAAATTTGTTTATTTCATAAAACTTGAAGATTCAATATTATTTCATAGTTAATCAATCTTTGTTCCTATCACATACATACTTCCGAAATAATGGAGTATACTAAATTACATGGTTCCTAAAATCAACCTTTTCTCTTTCCCTTCTAGTTCTGTACTCAACATATAGCAGACTGATGAGATAAGCAGTCCAGCTTCCCACCAACCTATAACAAAGCTGAAATAGAATCCCATATAGCAAAACCAGTTGGGAAAATGAATATGGCAGTGTGAGAAGCACTTGAGCAACCTGCATTAAAAATTCTATTAAAACCAAATTAAGATATATAAATATAATTAGCTACACACATTAAAAATCAACTTGGTAAAAGTAAAGATTGCTAGAAACAGTGAAAAGAAGAAGGGCAGAAAATTAGCTTCAGTGCCTGCGCAACTCTAGCTGGGACAAGAACTGTCGAACAACCTGTAAAACACAAGGACAGAAAATTATAAATGAGCCCACCAAAATAAATTCACAACTGAGACCATATAAATGCCTTCGAAAACTTAGAACAATACCTAGATCTGAAAAAACAAAAAAAGAGCAACCCATTAAATAAGCTTCAACATCACAGCAACCCATACCCAGAAAATATTAATGATGTGACCAACTAACTCCAATGAAGAAGAAAACTAATTTTGCTTGTTGGGTTTTGCTTGAAAACTGAAAAAAAAAATATTTGTTGAGGTTGCTGCTCAGAGGGGCGGCGGGAACTGGTGGGGAGGGCTTTCTTGGAGGTCCCAAGAGGCCTATGATCTGGTCGATGCGCATCTTCGCTACTTCCCCTACAGCCGCATGCAGCAGATCCGAAGTGGCCGGTGGCGAGTGGGCGTTTGGACTTCCACGGCACGAGCCTAGCCCACAGCCACAGCCACTCCCAGCTGGGCACAGCGTCGATTGGGGTGAACCGAAAACGACCTAGCTCTGCAGAAAGAGAACCCCAAATCAGAACCATCATCAAAACAATTCGATTAGAAGCCAAAAGAGGGGAAAAACCCAAAAATTATTTCGTCCTCATACCTTTGAGTTGTCAGAACCGAAAGCAGAGTCAGAGTGCTTCAACTCTTTCTCGAGCGTCGAGTGAGCCATTTGGCACGAATTATTAAACCAAAAATCAGAGGGCTCCATTCTTATTTTCACTGTTTCTAGATCTGATACTAATCACATTGGACACGAACTATTAAACCAAAAATTAGACATCGAAAACCCTAACCCCCCAAAATTAATTGATAAAAACTAGTTCAAATTGAAGAACCCTAAATTGATGCATACAATAAACCATAGCTAGAGAGAAGAAGAAGAGGAAGAGATTGTGACCTCCTATGCCAGCGAGCTCAGTGTCGACGGCATCCAAGGGGCTTAAGTGGCCTAAAACATTAAATCGCAAACTCCGACTCCTATGCCAGCAAGCTTGGTGACGACGACAATGAACATTATAGAGATGAGTGCTTCAGAGGTGAGAGGGAGTGTTTAAGAGGGTTGAGGGAGATCCAGAGAGTTGTTGAGGGTTTCAAAAGGGGAGAGATTTTTTCGAGCGATGGGGAGAAATCTGAAAAATTTAAGATCGTGAATTCACTTAAGTGCCTCTTTTCGTTTAGTGCATTTTGAAAGACGACGCTTGTTAATTGACAAGCGTCATGATTTTAAAATCAAACCCATTTTAGCAGTGTGTAAGGTAATATACAACAACGGTTTTATAAAACTATCGTCTTTTAAAACATGACGACGGTTTATAGATGCAACGTCGTCTATTTTGTGTCGTCGTTTAACTATTTTGTAGTAGTGTGATCGACATCTTTTGATGCATAAAACCATGACAGTAAATCCCCGTTGTCTATTATTTGTAAAGACGACGCTTTTACTCAAAACTGTTGTTTATTATTTGTAAAGATGACCCTTTTTTTGAAAGAACTGTCATCTATTAGATGTAAAGACGACCCTTTTTTTGAAAGAACTGTCATCTGTTAGATGTAATGACGACGAGTTTTAAATGCCCTTGTTATTTATAATTTTGAAGACAGTTGTTTGTTAAAAGATGACCATATTTTGTTAAAAACATCATTGATTGTATATAAAGACGACAGTTTTTACAATAAAACCATCGTTTATTTTCTTTAAATTCATTAGTAAATTAGTGAAATACCCATTTCTAGACATGTTTCTATAAAGAAACCCTACATCATTCAATGTATATAAACACACCCAAAAAAAACCCAAAATTGACAGCTGTTACAATTTTTTAGTTTAATTAGTTAAATGAAATACCTTTATTATCCTTTTAGTATTAAATTAGTTTTTTCGAAAAATTCTGGGACTCTCTCTCATCTCTCTCCCTTCACAGAAACCAGGTTGGCCAGTTTTGGCCAGCGATCTTGGTGCTCTAGCCATGGCTAGACGCGTGACTGGTCGGAAAATGACTAGAGGAGGTCGGCGAACCACGCTTGAGCCCAGCCTCCTTTCGCCGTCGCGAGCTCTAGGAACCTTCGAGGGTTTCAAGTTTTCCGACACCTTTTTTGGTGGTTCCAGCGACTGTTGTCGCAGATCCAGGTATGGATTTCGATCCTCTCCTCATGCTCTTGCTGATAGTATAGTTATTTGGAATCAATTTTAGCTTTTGAGAGCGTGAAAATGCTGTCGTTTCACTCCCTCCCTTGCATTCAGCTCTTTGGTTGCTGGACTCTGTATTCTGAAATGGTGTGAGAGCTTGTTGAGCTGCAGTTGATTGTTTAAGCTTTAGCTTCAATCAAAAGGTACAGAGCAAAATGGCTATCTGCGGTTTGATCTCAAACCGGAATTTTGATTCTTTTGTCGGCTCGGGTACTGTTGCCTAGGAGGTCTATTTGACTAGAAATTCAAAGTTTGTATAGTTTCAGAAATCCTTTTAGGCGTTTTAAGACCTAGATTAGGTTAGCTCTTCATCTGGTGGCGGAGATGAAGAAATAGGATTTAGGATTTCTTTTGTCTTAAAGCAACACAGTTTTTTGTCCACCAGTTTCTGTTAGTAGAGAAATTTCTGATTAGTTCCACTGACATTTATCTGTTGGTGATATTTTTATGGTCTGTCATCTTGTCTCAAATATCTATGTTTGCAGGATCTTTACTTGAGGGGATTCTAGTTGCAGAATTGGATGAGTACAGAGAAGGCAAAAGAGTGTAGAGTTTTGATAGATTCCCTCCTTGACCTAGCACAGGAAGGGAAGTTAAAATATGAGTAAGTTCTCCATTAACTATACACTTGGCTTCTTGTTTTTAGTTTTTTAACCCTACTTTTTTTAATTTGAACTGTTCTAGTTGTGTTTATTTTCAGCATTGAATTTCAGTTCGTGTTTTTCTTTTTCTGTGAAACCTTGGGGCTTAAAATTTTTAAATCATCTTCATGAGAAGTCATTTTGGCTTGGTCTGCAGGGCAGATGCTGCAGCAGTGGCAATCACAACAACCGACCTCGTTAGCAAGAGTGTGGCAATTCAGTCTCTGGTGTGCAAGATCTTGTTTCCTGTATTTATATCTGTAGTGAATGCAATATCTGCTACTTTTGGATTATGTTAATTGCTTATTAGCTGTACAAAACTTTGGCAATATCATGTTTTTATTTTTGAAACCTGTAGGCAGTAAAATAGAAACCAGGCTGGTCCTTAAAAAAAACTGGTGAATTTTTCAGGTTGGAGGGACAGATATAAGAATTGGGGGAATGGCAAAAGGTTCCGGGATGATCCACCCCAATATGGCTACCATGCTTGGAGTATGTCTTCTAGTGTTTCTCGCTTGATGTTTGACTAGTTATTAACTAATATGATTACATGGACAGGTAATAACAACTGATGCAATGGTTAGCAGTGATGTTTGGAGAAAAATGGTTCAAGTTGCTGTCAACCGAAGTTTCAACCAAATAACAGTATGTACATTTTTTTTCTTCCAATTATTGAACACCATAACTTAGTGGGGCTACACCTCACGTGGTGTAATCAACCTACCTTGTTGCATTTTTATTTTGTAGTATGATAACCCACCACATGTATGGGTTTTCTGCAGGTAGATGGAGATACGAGTACCAATGACACTGTCATTGCGTTAGCTAGTGGATTATCTAGATCAACCAAGATATCTTCCTACAACAGTAATGAAGCAGTACAACTTCAAGCAGGCCTTGATGTGGTTAGTTCTACTTCATTTAAGTTTTACATTCCTCTGTTATCTAAAAATCTTTTACAGTGAGCTCCAAAATTCTGACATCACTGGAAACTAATGAAAGAATAAGTTGACTTTTCCATTTGATTTGTTTTATGCAGTCTAAAACCAGCTTCTGGGATTCATATTTTACCGTATTCATTTTGAGAGGTTCGGTGGAGAAGGGTCGTAAGGACAGCTCCTTGATTTTCGTATTTCTTTTTTTTAAGTTTGGGTTTTTTAAAAAAAAATTGGGCTGGGCTTGTTTTGGGTGTTTTTTGAGTTTTTTTGTGTTGGGCTTGTTTTAAGTTAATCAATGGTAGAGATGTAATTTATAGGAATTTCAACACTCATTTCTTATGTATTAAATAGTTTTTGGGTATGTTTCTAAAGTGCATTCCATGTGGGGTTTTTTTATAATTTCAGCCCCTATTTTGGGTATATTACTAAAGCTCCCTAAATTCATTGTCTAATAAGTTCCCAGTCTATTACATTTTAGCTTTTTGTTTCCTATAATTCTATACAATGATTTCAAATAGAAAACCAATTATAATGCTTTATTAACGAAAAAATACACTGAAAATTTATTTCTTTAATATAACTTGAAGATTCAATAATCATTACATAGTCAATCAATCTTTACTCTATTACATACTTCCTACCTATAATTAGAAATAAAGGAGCTACATGTGGTTCACAAATTCTACTAATTTAATATGAACTTCATCAATTTATTCTTCGGTGTATGAGTTAGCTCTGCCTTCTTGTACATTTTCCAAGTTGTTATATTCCCGTTCCCTGTAGCAATATCAGCAAAAACAGGTCCCTTCTACAAGACTTGCAAAATTAACATCAAACTCCACAAACACAAATCTTACCAAATGTATTTCATTAATTCTAATCACTGACATTAATGTAGATAAAAGCAAGTTCTAAATGACCAAATTGTCTACCTTCTCCAAAGATGTGCATGGTCCAATGAACCTCTGAATTTTGATACCCTTTGAACATTTGATCACAAGTGTACCACTGACACAATTGATTTTCAGTAATGAGATTGACATATATAATTAGAGGTTAAAGAGAATTTATCAATGGAATAAGTCTAAGCATAATAAACAGGAGTTGAAAAGGGTCCAAGGATTTATACATGATGCAAAACCACCCAAATTATACAAACTAGAATTCCTACTCTTGACAAGTCTGGAGGCTCTCTGAAAATAAAGCAAATTAAAATGCAAAAATCGTTACACAACACAAGTACTAGAAAAGAATAAGAACAGTGAATTTTAGAAAGCAGGGGAGCTTAGCTCACTTACTTGCCAAGAAGCCTGAGCAAGTTTCCTGAAAGGAAAAACGAAGCAACAATAAACATGCCCACGTATTAAATCAGAGTGAGGAAGTTGAATTGGTAGACTTGGAGTAAAACCCATGTTGATGTTGCTGTCAAAAGAGTCAGGTAGGGTGTTGGCAATCCACAGTAATAAGCGAACTTTGTAATATAGGAGAATATGGCATCAACGAATAGCATAGAAATAAGCAACCACTCAAAGATAGCTATTACCAAAATTGTAGTCAAATCCTGGGGGCTTTATGCATAAATGCAGATGAAGTCCCCATAGCCATGTGCTTGAAATAGAAAACACTCCAGTCCTTCCAATAAGAATCAGTACTCTTAAGGTGACACTCGAAACTGCATCCAGTAATGGACAAGGGAGGTTCAAAACAATCAAAGAAACAACTAATGTAACACCAGAAGCTAGGCCAGCATCATTCCTCCCATAAATTGAGAAGGCACCAAGGATTGAAAAATGAGCCAAAAGTAAACAAGTAGGCAATAAACAAAAAACCAAACCTAAGAATTTTGAAAGAAAACATCTTAACCCAAAAATAGAAAAGGGAAGTAAGTGACATGCATAAACCAATTTCATAGACAATTAGTTGATAACCATGAAAAAACTAAACTAGAAGCTTACAAACAAAACATTTATATGAAACACAACCCCATTTCTCATAGAAACCCCCTTTCTATTAGAAAATCTGATATCTAATGAATCGTTAGCATGCATATCAAACCAATATTAATGAATATCTAATGAATTGTTAGCATGCATATCAAACCAATATTAATGAACATGATAAGACGTTATTACTCATACATCGAGAACCAAATAATCCAAGCCAATACTTCCATTAAAAGCTACCAATCTGCATCCCAAGGCGGCAGAAACTTTTAATGGTCAACGCCATAAAAAAGCACAAACACATATCAATAGGGAGAACTGATTTCTCTTAGCAGATCAAAACACCTGACCAAGAAGCTACCAAATCCAAGTAAACGAGAAAACTGAAACAACCCATATCCAGAATTCCAATACAAGATCACTAATAACAATGACTCTAACAAATTACCCCAAAAAAAGCTAGATTATAACCAAAATGATAAAAGAAAGAACTGAAATTGAATTTGAAATTTCATCACTTGAAATATGAATACCCATCAAAAGGCTAATGGCCCAATTCAATCTAATTAACCAACTTGGTAGTACAAAACAGAGACTCGATTCACATAAAGAATGAATATTTACCACACCCACCAATAACAACAAAAACTAAGATGATCAAATCATAAAGATATAAGTTGCATTGAAAATAAGAACTTACTTACAATTACAAAATTAGAATATTAAACAAGAAAAAATAAAAATCGAAGTCAAACCAGAAGAACCCTAAGCTAACCCTAGAAAATTAGCTTCGTACCTTTTTGGTTTATGAGTAAGAAGATCTAATCTAAAGCTCGTAAAATGGAATATGGGAATCCAGTTAGGGGCTTAAAAATGGTCGCGACGAGGAAGGGTAGCTGCCATGGGCAGCGCGAGGGAGATGGCGAACGCGGTGAGCTCGGTGGACTGAACCGCGCAATGGAGATGGCCATCTTGGATCTCGGTGACCTGAACGGCGCGACAGAGATGGTGATATCGGCGAGTTCGGTGGAAGGCGCGAGGGAGATGTGCTTCATAGATGTGAGAGAGAGTTGAGAGAGAACAGGTTTTCTGAAAGGAGGGGAGAGAAATTGAGATTTTGAGAGAGAGAGGGTTTTGTAAAAAGCTCCGGGCTCATGAACTGAAAGTGAAATTTTTGTTTAGCGCCTCCTAAAAACACGATGGTCCTAATAAGGTATCGTCGTTATTTTAAAAATCAACCCAACTCTGGGTGTATTAGGTACCTTACCACGACAGTATTATAACATTCGTCGTCTTTTAAAAAACCACGACAATTTTTATATAAAGGGTTGTCTATTGTGTGTCGTAGTTTAACATAATTGTAGTAGTGAATGGATTTCTAAAGCTTAATTTAGGTTCGACAACAAGGACCTAATTTGGGAATGCAAGGTTTAGACCAGACACCATGGCTAAATTATACATTAGAGAGAATCAATCTTTTTACTTGAATTGAACTTGTTAACTTGATTGGTTGAGACTTAGAATTGGATTGTTCCCTAGTGTACTCTTCACAATCATCATTAAACTTTGTTTCCATTTAAGTTTTGTGCAAGGAATCAAATTGAATCAATCTATCATCAATCCTCGTGGGATTGACCTCGCACTTACACATGCTATACTACCCAACGGCTTGTGCACTTGCGACTATCACAAGTTGAGGATGCAGCTAAATCAATTTTGGCGCAGCTGAATTCGACACAACAGAAGGGATAAAATAGCAAGATACAAAAATAAGGAGAGGATCTAGGGTTTTTATAACCTTTGGGAAGTCTTGGCCAAGAAGGAATCCTAGAAGCCTTTCTTTACAAGGAGCCCAACTTCAAGAGGGAATCAAATCCTACCTTCAGAAGGAGCCCGTCTGCAATTAGGAATTAAAGAGCCCATCAAGTATTTCACATTTCCTACATGCCCTACACGAGCCATGTAGAAGCTGTAGTGCATTTGTGGGAACATGAATTTTCAAGAACCACTCAAATGAAGCCATGTGGATATTGTTGCTTCGATTCAGCTGCACCAAAATGGTTTCAACTGCATCCTCAACTTGTGATACTCGCAAGTGCACGAGCCGTTTGGTAGTATAGCATATGTAAGTGCGAGGTCGATCCCACGAGGATTGGTGATTGAATGATCCAATTTGTTTCCCCTACACAAAATAGAAATGAAAAAAAATAAATAAATAAAACAAGAAAGAATGAAATAACCCAAGCAAATAAGTTCCCAAGTTCAATTAGATTAACGGATTGATTCTAGCTAAAGTATGATTAAGCCATGGTGTTTGGTCATAACCTTGTGTTCCTAATTCCCTAATTTGATCATTTGTTGTCTAACCTAAAACTAAGCATTAGGAACCCATTAAGCATAGAAGAACA